AACCCGCCGCGCCCCGCCTCCCCCCCCCCTCCCCCGGGGGTGGCTCCGATGCTGGGGGACCCGGGGCCTGACCCCTGGGGGCGGCGCTCCTGAGGCCGGACGAGTCCCAGCCCCGCCCCGGGCCCCTAAGCTTTGCGCTTAGATTTTTGTTTTGAAAACCGGCTTGCAACACTCATTCCACGGGCGCCCTCAGATTACCGTCGTTCTCGGCAGCATTTCCGCCCGGTACAGAAGGCCATCTCACAGCACTTTGACACCGCCAGCGGAATGAATGCCGAGGCCCGTTGAGGCCGGAAGGCTCGCCTAAACCGTGGCCCTGGACTGCCGGCAAGACGGTGCAAAGCGAAGGTCAACCCCGCTTTACTCCCGGCCACTCCCCGGACACGTCCACAGCGTTTTCAGAGGACACTGCCCGAGCCTGGCCGCTGGCTGCCCCTTCTGGGCTGAGACCCAGCAGCCTTCCACACGGGCGTCCTTGTAACGTGGCTGCCCCCCAAAGGCTGTTTCTGGAACTCAGCTCCAGGTGCCTTGTGTCCACTCTGGTCCCCTACTGGCTTTTCCTCTTGGAGGAATTCTGGAAGGTAGCGAAGGTGGAATGAAGGGAAGTGTACTGGTTTTGTGCCTTCCAGATCCTTCCAGTGCTCTGTTGCTGAACAGCGTGTGTTTGAGAGGACTACGCTGTAACCTGAAAAGTATTTCTCCCCCACTCCCAATAAACACGGGGCGGACGAAGTGTGTCAGGTGCCAGCTGAAAAAACAGGGTGCCGGTTTTTGCTTTGGATACATTTACTGCTGTTTTGGAAAAATTACAGTGCCTGAGCTGACATCTGGTGGGAGCCAAGCAGCTAGAATGGAGTGTTGTTTAAATTTTTTTTTTAATGTTTATTTATTTTTGAGAGAGAGACAGAGCGTGAGCAGGGGAGGGGCAGAGAGAGAGGGAGATACAGAATCGGAAGTAGGCTCCCGGCTCCGGGCTGTCAGCACAGGGCCCGACGCGGGGCTCGAACCCACGGCTTGTGACATCATGACTTGAGCCGAGGTCCCTAACCAACCGAGCCATCCAGGCGCCCCTAGATGGAGTGCTGTTTAAATGGAAGATGCTAGCTAGCGTGTGCTCAGGCTTCCTCCTGGTCCAGTTATGACCAATGGGCAAAAGGCAAGCTTAATCCTGCCACATCACATAATATGAAGGTACAAGCAAAAGGAATTTCAGTGGTGACCGATGAAAAACAGCCCGTAACTGCAAAATGCGGAGTGGGGCTTAGGTCTTAGCTACTGGCTTCTGACCACAAGGGGACTTATGGGCTAAGTGGGTCTTCTTCCTTGTCCCCTGTCCTCACTGTTTCAAAGTTGCTATGTAAGAGGGCCCGTTGTGCAAACTCGGTCACGTTCTGTATCAACTATCGGATGAATAACGGAAAGAAACAAGAACAGAACAATGCAAAAAACCCGACTCCAAACCAAGTTGCTTTATTTAAAATGATGAACAAGTTTCATCCAAGTGAAAGTTAAAAATACCAGTCAAATGGCAGAGCCACAGGCATTTGGTGGCGGAGCCCACGGCGAGATGGAAGCAGACGTAGGAGGCTGCTGGGTGCGTGTGACAGCTGCAGGAGGCGTGAGGACTCAACTCAGCACGTGGTCCCCGGCCTTCCGCACTGTCCAGTCACCCTGGAGACAGCCGGCCGGGCCAGTGCTCAGGGGACACGAGGAGTGTCACGTTTTTGAACTACTGATGACAGCCACCACCTGAGGGGCCGGGGCACGAGGTTTGTCTAGTTTGGCTGTATAGAACGTGACATCATTGGAACATTGTGGCAGAAGGTGGGGAGGGGAGTGTGAGGAGGAACCAGACTCCGCGGGGAACCATCGACAGTACCAGCACACATGACAAACGACTTACTTGTGGAAACGCTACACAGGATTCGAGGAACCTACAGCTGCGCACTTACACGCCTACGTCCTTAGAAAGCACTTTTTACGACATTTACCGCAAAACTCCCGCTCTGTCCCACACGCTCATCTGAGGTCCTAAATCACATCCAGGCGGAACCTCATTATAATAAGTTCACGAAGCAACTTATACCAGCAACTTTCTTGCTTACCCTTAGATATCTTTAGCTAATTTAGAAAGGGAAACCAAATACTAAGAACACGGCTATGATGTTAATTACGTTCTTTTATGAAGATCTCCTCAACTTGTATTTTGTAAAGTCTGAACTTGCTTTTCTGGCCGCGGAAATGGATATGCCGGACTCTACCTACCCCGACCAGCGACCCTTGGGAACCACGGCACACTCACTGTCCCTTAGCTCCACGAGAGGAGGGACCTGGACTCGTCACTGCTTCATCTCCAGCACCTAGAACAGTGGCTGGCACTCAAACGCAGGCTGGGTGTTCGAATGACTAATCAATGGGCATCTGCGAGCCTGAGCCAAATGTGAACAACGTCCCTGCGTTTGGTGGCTCTCCCCTCAAAGGTGTCACCCTGAATATCCCAGCACTACCGATGACCCCAGAGGCACCTGTGTGCGGCCCTGGATACTCAGGCTGATGGTAGAACCCTTGGTGCTCACTCCCGAAGCCCCAGAGGCTCCCCCCCCCCCCATGTCTTCATCCACCTGCTCCTATCAGACGTTACCGGTCCAAGAGCCCTCGTTCCAGGACCCAGCACGTTGGGTTTTAAGTTGAAGAATCCCTAGAAAATAGTTTCATGCGGTATCCTTCTCTCGCTACTGCTGATGGCACGTGGAGCAGCCCAGGCCACGAGGGCAGAAGGGTTGACGTCAGAACAGATGGCCCTGGTCCCCACTTTCTACCTTGTCCTGAGCACCCGGCCATCACTCCACTCCTTTCTCAGTTTCCGCACCCCATCCCTGCTTTCTTTCCACACTGGTGTGCTCGGCTGGCCCACGGTGACAGTAAAAGGGGAGGCGTGGGAGGTGCTGAATCCCGGCCTGGCTAAAACAAAGACTGTCCATGGTCATTCATGGGCCAGCGAGAGCCCAATGGCAGCATGTAATCTGTGTGAGCCAGATGCTTTCAGGTGGAGGGACTGCGAGCCTACCAGATGAGCTGGTTCCCTTATTTCTGAGTATTGTTTGTCAAACAGGAATCACCTATCGCTGGAGCCTCTGGGGGGGTGGGGGGGAGGCTAATCTCTCCAATTTAAACTACTCTGTCGTCGCAGCCACTGTACGCCCCCTGGCGGCAAATAGCCTTTTGCTTTTGTTGGTTTTCCTTTGTACCGAGGCTTAGAGAGGTTGGTACGAATTTGAGAGGAAGGTGCGATCGCCCCGTAGCAATACTGGGGAGATGAAAAAATTATTTTGAAGATGGCAAGAAAATTTTAAAAAGGAGGAGGAACACCATTCAGGTATTAACACAAACAGGTTACAAGTTCCGTGTGTGACTTTACTCACACGCACGCACACCCTGGAGCCCGGGGCCGCCGAGCCCTGTGGCCGGGCGACGGGCGCCAGCGCTGAGGAAGGTGGCAGATGTTCTCCATCCCATCCGGCCGCTTCTTTGCACTGGCATTTGAGGATGCAGAAAACACAAAATAGGGGCCCAACCTCCTAGAGTAAAGCCACTCTAGTGTCGACCGACCCAGTGTCGAGAGATGGTAACCACTCTGCTAAAAATGTAACCTCTGCACAGAAGAGACCTGGGTTCCCCAGATTAAAGCCACGTGTCGGGAGGATCTGGGGGAGGCGACACCACACGATTGCAGGATGCGTGCACACACCTCGCGGCTCGCCCGGGAGACTACGGTGAGAGCTCCTCTGCCCTCCGGCTGCTCGTGCCCTGGCCTGCGTTCCCACCCAGAAGACGGCACGTCCCTGCCAAGCCCCCTTTTACTTTTAAGTTTAGTTGAATTCAGGGACGGATTAAGGCAAGCAGATAAGAATGAAGCGGGCAAGACGTGGAACCTGCTGGTCAATCCCCAAGCGTTCACGGAGGAGTTGTCTGGAAGCCCAGACAAGATCCCAAAGGCGAGAAGCACCGTATATGACCTCACTCCAGACGTGCAGCCCGAGGCGCCCACCTCGTGTCTGCCGGTCAAACGAACGGGGACACTCATCGCGACGTCTCTCGCAAAGCAGATCACGCGGCAGGAAAGACCAGGACACGTCTGTCAGGAGGCAGCCCCGTTCCTCATTCACGTTCCGTGATGAGAATGCACTGAACACCTTTCCTGCTCTGTCTCCAACCCAAACCCCGATGCGGCGTCCTTCCCCCTAGGACACTCGGCACACACACACCGCCGGGACGCATGAGGCCCTCCGACGGCGGAGAGAAGGGAACGCGTCACAAGACAGTGCTCGCGGTGGTGAGCGGTGCCGCACGTGCCGGCTGGGTCACCGCCACGCGGCTTCGGACAAAGGGTGACACGGGGAGGTGGCGCACACGCGGCACTTCGTACGCGTAACCGGCTCGCACGCAAATCCGAGTCCGCTCGCCCCTCAGGGCCCGCTGGTGGGCAGCCGGCTCTTGGACCGCAGAGGTTCCGCACCAACGGTCGGTGAGGGGTCAGAGGCAGCCGGCTGCTCCCGGGATGGCGACCCTCCGGCCTCAGGGCGGAGCAGCGTGGTTCAGAGACAGCACAGGCCTTGTCACCCAGGGGCCCACGGGCCTGCAGCGTTTCGGGGTTTCACTGAGGGTCGCGAGCTTTTAAACTTCTTGGCCATCTATTCTTAGGAAGCAGTGAAAACAGCATTTGACCGAAGACAGAAGCTTGGACCAGAGAAGGATGATCCAAATTCAAAGAAGACAGAGGAGAAGGAGGGAGCAGAAGACGTGAAAACTGAGTCAGGTGGCCGCCAACCACGTACGCAGGAACCACCTCAGGGACAGTCTCTCTCTTTGCTCAGGGGTGAGCCCGGCCTCCACAAGTGTCCCTAATCCTGCCAAGGAAAGTACAACTGCCTGTAATCAGCATGTAGACGGCACAGCGGGTGCAAAGCTGGAAGGAAACGTTAAAGCCGAACCCCAGGACCCCACGTGGCATTAAGGGCAGGGCTGTCCCTACGACCTTCCCTTCCAAGTTACAAAGTCACACATTGCGGGCAGGTAGGAGTGAGTCCGCGACAACACAGAGGCCTTAAAAAGGCAAGAAGTGAAATCTAAGAGCGGCCTGAAGAGGGCGACTGGGTTGAGGAATGCACGTTCTAGTCCCACAAATTCAGGTGAACAGGACACCTGAACTTCTCGTGGGATTCCAGTGTGACTGCAGAGGACGAGGGAAACAGACAGAAAGGAACATGGGTCCTAAACTTTCCTAACACACTGAAGACAACACTCTGCTCAGAGATACAAAGGACGCGACAGGGACGTCGTCCGCGGCACTGCCGGGGCCTCAGACACTTACAAAGTCGTGGGAGCTTCAGTATCTGACTACCTTCCCGAAACGTCTCCCCGTCTCCCCGTTGCAGAAGCGCTGCAACTCGCACCGTGGCAAGGGGCTCTGGGATCCGGGCCCCGGGGCGCACGGCAGCCACCAACCCCCCTCCCCGTAAGCCCGTCATGTGCCCAGCACAGGGCCACTGCTGGCAGAAATGACCTTAGTGACTTTAAGCGTTCGCTTATTGAGATCCACTCTGGTTCGAACGAGCGTGGGAGACGGGACGGAGACCTCACAAAACACCCGAGTTCTGCGCCGCCGTCTCCCTCGGTGTGAGCGCTCAAAGGGACGACGGCAGTGGGGGACAACGCCAGGAGGCCACACCTCAGGCCCTCAGGAGGCACGGGGAGCTTCTCCCGCGCTGCCGCCTGTACAGCTGTAACCATCGCCTCCCCGCCAAGCGCGCACGCCAGCGGAGTCCCTGCTGTCCCCCAAGGCCGCAAGAATAACAAGGGGGGGTTTCTGGTATTCTCGAGGGGAAAAAATGGCAAGGATAGAAAACGGATTTAATTTTTATTAAATAACATTAAGGGTGTCCTTGGCACCATCCACACAGATTCTTGCCTTTCGGCATAAAAGAAGCCACGTTAATCTGCACCGGTAGCGGTGAAAAAAGCCACTGCAGCAAAGACCGAGTGAACGGACTCGTATTCCGAGAGCGGCCGCGTTCTCTGCCTTTGTCCGGCCCTCCCCTTGACCACGGATCCAAAAGGCTGACCTCCCCAGGGCCCCGCCCCTCGGGTGGCCACGTCCCTCCTACGCAGACGGCGGCCGTGCGTGGTCACCTGGAGGAGCTGCGCTCTTTGCTCACACAGTCGTCCTGGGAGGTGGTGTCCCCGTTTCCCATCATGCTGCACGTCCTCCGCTTCTTCCTGCGGTGCGTCGTCCCGTCCCCTTCAGACCCGGACTCACACTGGACACGGAAGGAGAAAAGCAGGAATTTGACCGGATGCAACCCGGTCTGTCAACAAACCTCCGCCCTCCAGAAACGGCACAAATGTCCGGGTTCTCCCAGAAGCGAAGCAGCCGCTTCTGCCGGCTCCGCAACACGCCCCGCTACCCAGCCCCGGAAACACCGTGGCTGCCCCCAGACGCCGGGGGGCCCGCCAGCGTTCTCTGATGGGGGGCTTACGGGTTTAGAATCAAGACGCGGCTCTAAGGACGGTCTACAGCCGGCGCTCTGAGGCCGCATTATGCGATCCCGCTGCGCGGACACAGACCCCCGAGGCGGGAGAGAGGGGACACAGGGCCCTGCACAGTCTCGTTCCCCCGCCCCCTGGGGAACACCAAATCGACAGATTCTGTGAAGCGGTAGGACGGCAATTTCACCCGCTGAGGGCAGAGGTCCCTCTTCCCCGGTATCCCGTTAGCTTTTAACAAGCCGCTGAGCTTGCGCGGATCCCAGGCTCACGGGTCACATCCGCAGGGAAAATTCTCAGCACAGACGCGAGGCTCTGTGTCCGAACGCCCACGCTGCCGTTTGCTAGCTGTGTGACCCTGGGTCGCTCACTTAGCGAGATCCCCCAACACTCCTTTTGCCTCCCAAAGTTCTTGCGATGACCCCCCACGCACGCGCGAGGCTACAAACTGGGCGGAATTCACCCCACAGCAGGGAGGGTGGCAGCCGGAGCTCTTGGCGGAATCGGCTCTCTCTCCCTCTGGGCCAGGAGGAGGGAAGGCTGCCGCTGAGTCCCCCTGCCAGTGACCTCCCGGGAGGCCTGGGGAGGGAGCAGGGCCTCACCTCTGAGTCCGAGTCGGATGAGCTGGAGCTGGAGGAACTGGAGGAGTCACTGGAGCTGTCGGATGCGATCCCCGTGGACTCCTGAAGGTCAACCGAGTCGGCCAGGACCGCCAACTCGGGGTGCTCTTGCTTCAAGATCCTGAGAGACAAGAAACATCATTCCCAGCGCTGGGACCGGCGAGCACACCGAGCACATTTAACCCCGAACCCGGAGCTGAGGCCTGCCTCTCTCGGGAGCGCCCGGGAGTGCTGGACGGGGACGTGGTGAGGACACACGCACCCGCAGGCCGGGAGCAGAAGCCCCCGCGTGCCTGCCGCCCAGGATCTCCGGAAAGGCGAACTGGCTGCTCGCGGCTCACTCTGACCTTCCCAAAGGAGCCGGCTGTAATGCCAACGTGTGAGGCACAGTTGCCCTGAGTCAGGCTGCGCTTTCGTCCACCTGGGAGAAAAAGTCTCTCTTCCTTGTGTTTTTTTTCTGTTTGTTTCCTCCTGAACCTTTCCTAGTGGATTTTCTAAACCCTTCCTTTCCACAACACAGCGTTTAGTGACTGCAGTCGGGCTCGGTTAAGTTCCCTTCGTAAGCGGAGAAACAATCAGATTTGTAAGAAATAAGAAGCATCAAGTAACAGAGAGGGTTCCCCTCGCTCGAAGATACACCTGAACTGGACTTTCAGAGGCGGGAACCCTCCCCTCAGGGACCTAATCTGGCGTCCGCACTAACCAGGGAGAAAGCACCTGCTGTGCGGTTAAGGCCTTTAGAACGACCGAGTCACGGCATACAGCGGCCGGTGGGACAAAGTAAGTGGGCCGCAGGTGCCCGAGGGTCCGGGGAGAACAAAGCCACCACCCTTGCTGGCCCTCTCAGCAGGGAAGCTGAGCACTGACCAAGCCAGGATCCCTCTCTTACCCCGAGAGCTGGTCCCTCCAGGTCAGGGTTGGGACACAGTGGCACGGGGTGGCTGGGGGTGGCTTGCACTGCCGCTGCCCGTGCTGTATCTGTTCTGTGGATAAACAGAGGAGCTAAGTCTCCAGGGCAGTCACCTCGCTCACAAGAACTGAAGGTAGTAAGTTCAAAGGGGCATAATGCTTCTGAGTAAGAAAAAGAAAGAACCAAAATAAAACCCAAACAACATGGCTTCCTTTGCTAAGTGCTAGCCTTTGTGGGGGGGGGGGGGGAGGACAAAAATCGAAAACAAAACAAAACAGAAAACAAAAGAAACACCCCAATCATGGCCATGTTTTGACGGACTGACTTTGATCAAACATGCAGAGTCTTACCCTGTCGCCTCGAGGCTGGCAAGCATCCTGAGAACTAGCCCTGACCTTGGACCCCCTGGCCTCTGCCCGTGAGGTTTTGCAGCCCCAGCTCTCCCAGGCCTCAGACCAGCACACGTTACTGCAGCGGTGGACTTTTTTTTACTTCGCCTCTGGGGTTGGAGTTGGAACAAAGCAAAAGAAGAAGGAAACGTCTCTCACCTATACCATTTCCGCGATAACTTTGGTCTTCCTCTTACCGTCTTGTGCCATACAACAGGGAAGTTGGTGCTGCTGGCAAAATTCTGGGTGATGGCAATGGTGGTGTCAAGATTAAGGACAACGTGCCACCAGCCTCCTGAAATCCAACAAATAAGCAGTTAAACAGGGCTGGGTTCCGTACAAAATCACGAATGACAAAAACCCTGCCAACAGCGGGTTCCAATCTACGGGGAGGGACTCAGGGACGGGAGACCCCGCGTGGTAAATGCTTCTCCTGATCCAGGAATCACAACTAATCCGTGTAAACTTCTCCTGGAGCACAGCTGTGCCTGCTCATTTCCAGACTGTCCGTGGCTGCTTTCCTGCTCCAAGGGCAGAATTAAGCAGTTGGGATAAACACTGTCTGCCCCCCAACCCCCGTGCTTAAAATATTTACTCTCTGCCCTTTACAGAAAAAGCGTGTGGACCCCTGCTGATCCAAAACTGTGATCAAAACTATAAAAGCAGTAAGTTCTTCAGTTTCTATCTCAATACCTATTCAGACCTGTCTTAAATTTATTTTTTAATGGTTTTTTTTTTTTGGCAGAGAGAGACAGAGCATGAGCGGGGGAGGGGCAGAGAGAGAGGGAGACACAGAATCCGAAGCAGGCTCCAGGCTCTGAGCTGTCAGCACAGAGCCCGATGCGGGGCTCGAACCCACGAACTGTGAGGTCATGACCTGAGCCGAAGTCGGACAATCAACCGACTGAACAACCCAGGCACCCCATAAGACCTATCTTAAATATTAAACACCCTTGCCCTCGACACTTAACCTATCATAACAAAATGTCGTTTTTTTGTTTTTTTCCGAAGTGTAGTTTTCAGGTATGGGACTTCCTGCCTCTTGGCCCCAAGTTCCTATTTCCTGACTCAACCCAGCCAGTGCTACACTGTATTAAAAACCCAATTTGTAGAAATACACACAAGTCACCGCACATCCACAAAGACACTAGGTAACTACCAGGGACAGAGATGGGCACACTCTTTACATACAGGAAATTTCCCAACAACCACTATAGATTCAGGTTACAAGAAATGTGGACAGCGGCCCCCTAAGTGCTTGATGGCACAGTGACAGACCTCACTGTCCGAGGCGGGCACCAGTCAGTTCATTTAGAGTCAGCATGCAGGGGGATCTCTTTGACTCCGTCTGCATTTACTTCTGCTCCGAAATGACAAATAAAACAATGTGCTTTCTCTCAGTTCCTCTATACCTGGTACGAAGACAGTCTCTCCTGGTTTTTGTAAGATCTCCAGGGGTTTGAATTCAGGCGGCCAGGTGGGAAGCTGCGTCCGGGGATGGATGATACTAAACCAGGTAATAGCCTCGTCTTGCTGGTTCCCTCCTTCTTCACGGGTCACCTTGATGAGTTCCCTGGGCGTGCTGGTAGGAAACAGGCACCAGCGCTTGTGACCCTGAACTAAGGCGTTCCAGGCACTGGTTCCCAGAGGGTCGATGTGAATTCCGGTTCCAGAGCGTGGCGGCCCCATCACAAACCACCTGAAGGACAGAAACGTCCAAGATGTGAAGGATAAACTGACTCTGCGCACACATACTACAAAACAGTGAGTTCTTGGTCTCATAAAACACGTTACATGACCTCCATTTCAGAGATCACGCAGACCCTGCCACAAGGGAACGCTGAACGAATCGTGCCTGGAGTGCTCCATAACAGAAAAAATAAAAATCACTGATGTGGCCTACTACTGGGCTTTAACTATTAAAACTTTCCTTGGGGCGCCTGGGTGGCTCAGTCAGTTAAGCATCCGACTTCGGCTCAGGTCATGATCTCGCGGTTCGTGGATTTAAGTCCCTGAACTGACAGTTCGGAGCCTGGAGACTGCAAGGGATTCTGTGTCTCCCCAGCTCTCTGCCCCTCCCCTGCTCACTCTCTGTCTCAGAAATAAAGAAACGTTAAAAAAAAAAAAATTAGAAGCCACCCTTAAAGATCAGTAGTTCAACTCTGCTTGAATGTTCGAGTCACCTGGGGAGCCTTCTGAAATCTTGATGCCTAGGTGGCAACCCAAACCAATGAAACCCGTCTGTGGCGGCAGGGCCTGGTCAGGCAGCGGTAACCCCCTAAGTTCCATGTGCAGCCAAGGAGAACCACTCAGTGTTCTGGAAAAAGGTTGGCTGACCGCGCTCAGGTGACACATCCTGTCGTACAGAAGAGCCTAAGGGCTTCACCCCCAAGTACTTTACCTGTAAGGGGGCCTGCGTTTCTCCCCGGCATACTGGAAAAGGTCATCAGTGAAAAACTTGGGCACCTTGTAGTCTTCCAGAAGTTTCCTTCTTTTCGGGTGCTCACCATAGCTGCTGTCAAAGATGTAAAGGGGGCTGTCATCTCGAGTGCTCTCCATGTACTCGATGTAGTATTTCATCTTCATCTTCACTGAGTAACCATCATTATCCTCACCGCACTTGAACTTCTGGTTCCGGTATTTCCTTTTGAGGCGCTCCAGGGTCCATTTCTCCTGAGCAGACCAGCCCTCTTGGGCATTGAGCAGAACCACGGGTTTGTAAGGTCTTTCGTAGCGCTCGACAAATTCTTCCACGGACAGCTGTAACGCGTCTGCCCTTTCCACGTTATCCTGGGGGAATCAGAAAAGACCGATCCAGTTAGAAAAAGACAAAAGCAACACAACAAAAAGTCCAGCGGTAGACGGCGTCCCCCAGGTCCAGTTAGCTATGACATACCTAAGAAGCCAGATTCTTGTTCCGGCTTATCTTGCGGGGGGTGGGACGGAGGGAAAGGGATAAGGACCTGCGTGCGGACTGACACGTCGCACCCAGCGCCGCCCCACCAGGGGAAGGGGGCTACGCATCTCCCACTCGTGGGCCTTGACAGCCAGGTCCCAGAGGGCGCCGCCGCCCAAAGGGGTCTAGGGGCGACAGCTCTCGTTGAGGGCGCCAAAGGCGTCAGCCTCCAGTTGCCCCGGGACAGGCGGCGGCCACGGCGCGGGCGGAAGGAGGTCGGCCCCGGAATCCGGCCCCCGATGACCCCGACCTCCGCGGGGGTGCGGGTGAGCCCATCGGCACTCGGGGGAGACGCGCCCCGGAGAGGTCCCCGGCCGCCCGGAGACGCCCGTGCCCGGCCCGCGACCCCGACCCCGGCCCGCTCACCGCCACGGCCGCCGGGTTCAGCGAGAAGCTCTCGTAGTAGTTGTGACGGGTCCAGTCCAGCGAGTCCTTGAGCTCCGGCCGCGCACTCCGCTTGGCCTCGCGGATCCGCTTCTTGCTCTTGTGGTTCATCTTGCGCGGGTCACCAGCTGCTCCCGCGACCACCTCGGCGCAGCTCGCTTTCTGCTTCCAACGCGCCCCCTCCCCGGCCCGGGCGGCGGCGACGGCGGCGGCGGCACCGAAACGCCCTTCGCTCTGGCCCGGCGCCTTTAAAGTCGCCTTCCAGAAGATTCACTCCGCAACCACCTCCCGGGCCTCGGGTTGGGCACGCGGCTGCCGTCTTCCCCGCCCCTGGGCCTCTCGCGGTGAGCCATTGGCTTGGGCGCCTCCGGGGTCCGCCCTCACACTCCCCGGCTCGCCGCCATGTTGGGAAGGTCAGGCCGATGGAGGCACCTCCTCCCTGCGGTCCCGCCTCTCCCGCGCCCGCTTCCGCTGTGTACGTCACTTCCGGAAGCGAGCGCTCACTCCGCCGCCCGTTTCCGGCGTGCGAGCAGCCGAGGCCACCTGTCTTTCCTGTCTTCTCTGCCAGGTCTTTGGTCTCTTGCCGCACGGCCACATCGTCCCCCGAGGGGTGTGTTCCCCGCCTTTGCTGTCCCGTTGCGGCGACCCGACGGGGCCCGCGAAGGGCCACGTGGCGCCGGTGAGGCGGCTCCATCCGGCCCCGGGGTCCCCCGCGTGCGCAGCCTGGCAACCTGGCGCCCTCCGCTGCTCGCGGCCCGCCGGGGGGCCACCGACTCCCCCACGGGCGAGCGTGGCCTTCGAGGGCATGTGGTTCGGGCCCAGCGCTTTCGGTTCTCAGAGGAGCCGGGCCTGGGGGCTGAGGGGACGGTGCTGGAGGTCAGCGTCCCGCAGGTGCGTGCAGCGGCACCCGCCGGGGGCGGCGCCTCCGGCCCCTTGCGGTGGCGCCCGGGGCAGGAGCTGTTCTCAGCGGCCTGGGGGGGGGGGGGGGGGGGGAAGGGGGGGTGTTGGGAGGGGGTGGGGAACGGGCTCTGGCGGCTACCCTGCCTGAGGAAGGGCCTCCGAGCGGGAAGGATCGCGGTGGGAAGCCCTCTGACAGTCTTGAAGTAAGAAATTTGGGGGTCCTGCCAGGAAGAGAGCCCTCCGCATCAAATATTTCCTGCCCGAAAAGTGACATTTTGGACACCGAACACTTCCTTTGACCTAGTAGAAGGGCTTCTTAATTCACCTTTATCTAGGATCGGGAATTCTACCCTCACTATCCGAAAAAAGTTCCGTGGGTTGGCACCCGTTCCTTCCGGTTTACAGCTGCCCCAAACTCTCAGTAATAATAGTAATACTTTATGCGTCCGGTTTTTCGAAGCATTTTGACGTGGCCGTGTTTAGATTTGAACAGCAGTGTGTGAGGTAGGTATTAGCAAAACAATTCAAAGGGGCGTCCGACTCTTGATTTGGGCTCGGGTGGTCGTCTCAGCTCAGAGCCTGCTTGGGGTTCTCCCTCCCGCTCTCTGCTCCTCCCCCACTCACACTTGCGGTCTCTCTGTTTCAAAATAAATATTTTAAAGATGATAAATGGCTAAGAGGAGGTAAAGTCTCGAGTGAAACCGTTTCTAACAGTTTTTAAATGCCTTCCCGTTGAAATACCCACTTGATTTCTTCCCGCATTTAGGAGGTGAAGATACTCCGTGTGAGAAGAAAGACCTCTTTCCACCCAAATCGGCAAACTCAACTGCTGTGATCAGAAACCCTTGAATGTATCTTGGGTGAAAGCTACCAGGGCAGGCATTTTTATTCACCATGCACGCCCTACACTTAAGACCCAGTGCCTAGCATATTTTAGGCACTAAAATTTTGGAGAGTGAATTGAATGATTTGAGTTCAAACTTCCAGTTCCTTCACCTTTGGTACTTTGAAAACTCGAGCGCCCTTTCCAACCACAAGCAGCACCCTTTGCTCTAGAAAACAGACTTGCGGTTTTGCAGTCTTTTAATAACCGCTCAAGGTGTGTGCTCATTTTGTGCCTGGTGCTGTACTAAGTTTGCGTCGAATCTTCCACCATCACCCTATGGGATAGTGTTTCGCGGTGGCGGAAACTGAAGCACGGACAGGTTGAATGGCAGGTGAGGTCCCACAGGTAGTCAGTTACATATCTGGAGTTTGAACTCAGGCAGGCTCGTTCCAAAGGCGTGAGCCGTTTAATTGGCCTCTCTCGCAATTCTGTGTTTTTGCAAAGGCTCTGTATGCTGCCCGCCTTCCTACCTCCAGAACCGAGCTGCACTCAAACCTCTTCTGGAATGTCTCCCTAGCCTGTTTCCCAGGACCATACCAAACTGCCTGTGATTATAATCCTCGGATACATTCTTACTGCACTTACAGTAAAAGCCCAGAAGACCACACAGGTCTGGTCCCTGCCTTCCCTTTGACCTCTGCTTGTACTACCACAACCCTGCTTCCAGCCCCCATGCGCTTGCTGTGGGTGCTGTCTGAACCGTTCTCCCTATCTAGGACAGCCACCTTGTGATCACTGTCCCCCCATTGTTCCCTGCCCCCACCACTCCCATCGCCCGGTTTCGTTGTGTTAGCATCCACACCAGCCAAAAACATATTCGCTTACTTGTGGCTTGTCTCTTCCTAGTAGGGTATGTACATGTGTGTTCCATGAGCTTTACATCCATAGCCCACGAAATCACTCCCAGTCCCTGAAATAAATGCTTGTTGAGTGAAGAGTGGCTATCCTGTGGTATTGCAGTTTCATATGCCCCATAGGTTGTGAACTTTACAGCAGGGAATTGTCATTTTCGGAATAGATGCCAGTGTCAGGCACTCAGTAATTGCTGTAAAAATAAATATTCCAACTTCCAGCAGATGAGTTATTTTTGGCTTACAAAAAATTCTTTTCAGGTCCTGCACCTCCAGTACGGAATGTATGTTTGGCCCTGTGCGGTGGTCCTGGCTCAGTACCTGTGGTTTCACAGAAGATCTCTGCCAGGCAAGGCTGTCTTAGAGGTACAAGTGCCCCTGAGGTTTCCAAGAATCCTATGTTCAGATCTAAGTCTATGTGCTGGTTACTGGCTTTTGTTTAATATTTTAAAAACGGATGATTTGGCCCACTTGTAAGTTCTATGAGCTAAGAACGCTTTTTACATTTTAAGTTGTGTAAAAAAAGAACGTATACCAGAGACCACAGGAGACCCACCGAGACTAAAATATTTATCATCTGGCCCATTACAGTTTGCCGACCCTTACTCTAAGTGAAGCCCATTGATTAATTTCAGTTTTAGAATCTTGGTATGGAAGCAATCCCTAAGGCCCTCTTTCCAGGGTGTCCCAACTGGGTCATTTGGGGTCTACTGTGACATGTGCGGTTTCTCAAAAAACAGCCCTTTCCATTTTTGGAAATCTTGAGTGTCCTCTACTTTTCCTGATCACTCGAGACCACTGACGGCTTAAGAGAAAAAAACTTTTGTCAAGTTTGCAGATGGTACAATGCTTAAACCCTAAGGCTGAAGACAAATCCAAAACTTGTAACCCCTCTGAACTTTTGCAGAACCACGTAAATGAGTGGTGTGAAGGCACTTGGCATGCTGTTATCTGGCGATGTGTAGATTCAGATTGAGAATCTCCCCACCCGTCCTTAAAACTGGAAAATGGGAAACTTGTGCTTCAACCAAATAGACACTAAAGGCATTCCTTAGTTATTCCTTAGTATGCTTAAGACTTCAGCACTTCGAAGTCCCAACTGGAAAATCTCCTTTAGTATGAACCCTGTTGAAGATCTGTCAGGCTAGAGCCACATAAAAGAGGTTACAATTGGTAGTAACAGCCAGAATGGCTGTATGCATGGAAGTCACCCATCAAGCTTCTGGAGACCCAGTGTCCCATATAATTAGGAGCTCTTTTATGGACTGTGAGAGAACTAAATGCTACTAGTGTCCAAACCGCCTGGGGCATATTCAGCAATAAACTGCCAGAGATGCCATGGGAATTTGGAAGCAATATTGTCAGTTGCAGAATTTAGGGCCCTGTATGGGACTTAACCTTTCAATCCAATTGAGAGACCCCACTTGATTTCTACAAACCCAAAAACCTAAGCTTCACATACAAAGGCAATGTCCAATTATGGCACACTGTGCATACATGAGCTGAAGAATATACTTAACTCCCGGACCCTGTACTCAGGGAAACTAAAACCCCAAATTCCCTGCGATGCTAAGGAAAACTTTGAAATGCGTATATTCATCAGATTGGGGCCGGAGTGAGCCTTCCAGGAATCGTGGCTGCAAAATGTGGCGCCGAGGTAATACTGTCCGACAGTTCAGAGCTGCCTCACTGCCTAGAAATGTGCCGTCAGAGCCTGGAAATGAACAACCTGCCACAGGTGCGTGTCGTAGGACTAACGTGGGGCCACGTATGTCCGGATCTCCTGGCTCTGCCACCACGAGACATCATTCTTGCATCTGATGTGTTCTTTGAACCAGAAGGTAAACGGTTTTTTGCTCTTCATAAATTTGGCTGAAGGTGATCTAAGTTCTTTTATTTAAGGAAAGTCCTTTCTTCCCAGACTTTGAAGACATCTTAACTACAGTATACTTTTTGATGCAAAAGAACCCCAAGGTCCAACTGTGGTCTACTTACCAGGTAAGAAGGTAAGCCTGCGTAATCCTGGGTTTTACTCTAAATTGTACTCTAGGTTAAAGATTGAATTGGATTCCCCGGGCGGGTCACGGATCTCCCGGGGCCCATGAGATCGAGCCCCACGTTCAGGTCCTGCTTGGATTCGCTCTCCCTCTGCCCCTCCCCTGCTCGTACTCTGTCTCAAACAAACAAAAACCTTTAAAACTATCTAAAGCACAACAGGAAAAGCAGAATTTCAAAAAAAAACAATTTATTTCTTTTTCAGTGCTGACTGGTCACTTGAAGCTTTGCTCTACAAGTGGGATATGAAATGTGTCCACATTCCTCTGGAGTCTTTTGGTGCAGACAAGGAAGATATAGCAGAATCTGCCCTCCCAGGAAGACATACTGTTGAAATGCTGGTCATCTCCTTTGCAAAAAAGGACAGTCTCTGAATCATACCTACATACAGGCTGTTCTGGGGCAATGTCAACACTGATTTGCAACCTATCGTGCCAATTAGAACTCAGACCATTTTAGCTTCTTGGGAGTAAGTACAAGCACTGGATTTGAAGATGGTCAGATCTGTCAGCCTTAAAAAAAGATTGTGTGGTGGGTCACCTGGACAACACTCGTGGGTTACAAAGCCATGAAAACAAAAATAAACACACCTGTAAGAGAAAGGACTTGGACTGTTCTTTAAAAAGTCAATAAAAATACGACATAAATTAGACTATGACAGAAGGGGGGGAACCCACAACCTCCGCAAAGTGCTACCTTAGAGCATGGATTTGAGGGGTAGTGGGTGCTGAAACGGGGTTTCCACTTTTTAACTTAGGGAAAAAAAGGTCAAGTACTAGACATTTCGCTTTCATACTATAACAGTCAGTAACAATTCACAAGATAATTGCACAGGTCTTTCAAATAAACGGGAAAAAAAGACCAAGACATATTCTGAGAAAAGCTAACACCAAGAAAACGTTTTAATTAAACTACAGAAAACAACGGTTATAGTACAGAATATCCATGAGCAAAAAGATACACCATGTCATAAGTACTTACAAAGTTACAAACCATTTGCTTCCTTAACATTTTCCGCATTTTAAGTTCATACATGAAGATGATCCGATTTACCATTTTGGGGGGAAGGGGAGAAAAAAAAAGGTGTATTTATCATCAGCTAGATGTGCTCACTGTATGCTCCGTTATTTATATGCAAGGCCCGGGTGACTGGAAGTGCAGTTGTCAGGCATTTTAATAAACTGGACAGCCATTTGTTTCTGCACGACAAGGCATCTTTACACAGGAGCAACCGGGAGAAAACAGGAAACAGCCAAGCACTCTGCACTGCAACACGCCACCTTAACAGCTAACCAGCATTACTCAACTGCTACACAACTGCGCCTAGTGCACAAAAATACACAAGAGAAGAGATTAGAATTGTGTTTGGTAAACAATCCTTTCAAAAAATCAAGTCTTTTCACCTGAAAAGTCTTTACACAAATTTGGGTTCAGATCACCACTTAGATCTGAAGGTAAATAACATATACAAACAAACTGACACCAACTTTTGTAGCTTTTTAATTTTAAGGAATGAAGGCAATGTTGAGTCAATCTCTTGACAGCTTTAGGCTGTGCGTAATGGCTGCACACGTTTCCTTAAAAGTCAGGAGGCCACAAATTAGGTTACCAATCTGTTTAATTTCAAACAAAAAAAGTCAGCACTATATAAACAAAAAGGAAAATTTACCTCAAATATCCAAGCCAATAATGAAATCTGAAGTCGTTCACCTCACTAAATTACAAGAAATTTGAATAACAGCAACAAAATGGCACATAAAATGAAGTTTGCCACCTGAGGCAAAGCTTTAAAACAAGTAAAAAGTTAGACAAAATGTTACAAAATAACCTTTTCAATAGCCAGTTGCTTGTTCCAAGGACTCTTCGATGGGCTGGGTATGTGGTCCTTTTCCCCCAAGTCTTCCTTTAGTTATGCTGCTCGTCGCCACATCTAGGTTTGAAAAGAAAAAAGTTCAGTTTACCTTCCATCGCTATGAAGTTACCCGCAGTGCACATGGTTTCAGTTTCAGGCATGTACTGACTAAGGCTCTGGTGAAACAAGTAGGTTACGGAAAGGTTCCACCCAGCCATTATCAGTTTTTTTTAAAGAAAGGCCCAATTGGGAAATTTTCACAAGGACTAACCATCCGCTTTTACAAATTTGTGTTTATGCAATCTTGGCCAAATAACCAAGGTGAGAGATAAGGGAGGGAAAAAGAAAAAGGAGGGGGAAGGGGGTAAAAAAAAGGGAGAGAGAGGGGAATTAAAAAAAAAAAAAAAAAAAAAAAGGACCGTATCCAAACCAAAACTTGAAATCAGACAGTCTATTTTACGGTAAATGTTTAGCTTTCAAATGAAACGTTTGGCAATTGAGAATAAAGGCTTTAAATATCTCGAGCTACTTAGGGCCCTTTCCTTTTAAAAAATAGGACCAAACAATTTAAGAGTTAAAGACACACTATCCTTTCCCCACCCAGTGCGATACCTGTAAACTTTTTGGGGGTTCCAAAAGTTCATTGCTCCGCTTTGCAATTCGTTTGCCACATCCGTTAGAATATGAAGTCCCAGTCAGTACAACAATAGTTGAACTGATTTGTTTTCTCTAAGAGGATAGTGCATCTTTAACGTTTAAAGACAAACCTGCTCCAATACACGCCCACAGAAACTGGTCCCTGGAGGATCAGCCAAATCAGTTAAAATCTGCAATACTGGCCAATATTCTTTTATCAAACAGGAGACCGCAGCTTTAAAGGGGGAAAATGCAGACGTTGGATAAAAACAGCAAGAAATAGTCATTTTCATTAATAGGTCTCAAACAGTTCACGAAACAGCCATAATTATCTAAGCTTCACGCACATCCTCTCTGCAGACCCCTCTCTTCAGAATTACTCCCAAAGCCGAGTTAGCTCACAGCCGCGCTCCCGACGTCGGGAGTCGCTTTCCTACCAACACGGATCGTAAACGGCTAACCGCAAACCCCATCTCTGCGCTCGGGTGGTGCGTGCGCCTCGGACGCCCACGGACATTACCATTTGCTTAAGAGGACACCGCTCCTTCCTCCTCGGGAGACTTGGGGGGGCTCTTGGAGCGCGACCTGGACTTGGACTCCCTCTTGGACACGGGCGGAGGACTCCGGGACCGGGAGCGGGACCGGGAGCGCGAACGGGACCTGGACACCGACGACGACTTGGACTTGGATCTTCGCGCCGACCTGGACTTGGAGGTGGACCGCGACCTCGAGCGGGTGCGGGACCGGGACTTGGAGCGGCTGTAGCGGGAGCGACTGCGGGACCGGGAGCGACTCCGACTCCGGGAGCGGCTGCGGCGG